TCTCAAATCTGGAATTGCCAAAGTCCCAACAAGTAAGGATTTCGGACTTTGTACTGTATATCACATAAACATCTTGCAAGTTAAGGTTTTGTAGTATCACATACTTTACCTACAAATTATATACTAGAAAAATACAGAAGTAAAAATCTGTACAGTATCAGTCATTTTTTATAAAATGACAATTACAAGTGAATGTGAGTATCTAAAACTGTATCAAGCACATACAACAGTACAAGTCCACTAGTACACATTACTTGCCGTTTAATTTTGTGAACTCCTCCCAACTGTCTTGTTCACGCTGAGTTCCGACCCACATTTAAATTACTGGAAATGAGCCAGCTGACATCATAAGAAAATAAAAAAACAAGCAACAGATATTTACAATGAAGAGACCTCATCTTCAGCAGACCTATCAGGGTCACATGCTCAAAGTGGCAACAGAGATGACTTACACCCACCATGGGTTGCAAAATGCAATAGTTTTTTCCCAAACAGTGCTATGAAGCAGTTGTGTGTCAGTGACTCAATACTTTTGTGAACATGGTCTGTTCACTGCCTACTTGCATAGCTTCTGGTACAGCAAAACAGATCTTGATGTATGTGGTGTGGAAAAAAAACAGCCGACTACTCTGGAATTTGACTACCCACAAGCATCAAGATACTACCTTAAAAAATCAGCTTCCATAAACCAATCACTATGGGTTAAAAATATTCATAGTTATATAACTACACATAAGATTGGTTCAGTCATGTCATACTGCGCTACTGCCTACTCAGTCGTTTCAAACAGCATGCAGCTTGCTCCAAGCACATCTATAACATAATTTCTCGGTCAGAGGAGTACATGACACACTCCTCCTCTATATTTAATTCTATGCATTAGCTCTGTATATTTATTTCCTTTTGTACCATGTATATATACAGTAAGAGCTCAATTATCAAAAAAGTTTGGGAAATGCTGAATGTAAGATATATGAAAATTCTGGACAGTTCAGCATATAAAAAATAATTCACAATAGTCAAATGAATACAAGAAATTTCTGATCTAAATTTATGAAAAGAATCATCTTATTTATTATCAGCTTGAATATCAAACGTTTGCATTTAAAAGTATTAAGAATTTTGGCAAAAATATGGATTTTAGATATTAAAGATTAAGTGTTTCTTAGATCTTAAACATACAAAGATAAAACAACCAGTTATGAAATCCCATTGGCCATCAAAGTTGATACAGAATTTGCAAAACTTCCACCAGTAATTCCAGTAGAAGTTGGGGGAGAGGAAAGATTGTTCTTTATTTAGTTAGATAACGAATACATACAAGTTACAGGTATGGCATATTTTAAAAAAAAAACTCAAATCCTTTTTCTTGGTTTTTCACACTGAATCACAGTTATTTACTTTTCAAATAAAGTTGCATTTCATACCCATTATCGAACACTTTTCTTGATGCTAAGATTGCTGCAATGAAAATATTCCACTGCATGTTTTTCCACAGAAGGAAGATTCCAAATTTTAATCATTTTTTCAAAATACGAGATAAAAACAGAAAAATATTATTTAACTTATATCCTTCTGGAAAAAATAAATAAATAAACTGGCTTATTGAAAATTAACTGAGTTAACATAGAACAAATGCAAAGATCTTAACCTTTTAACTGCCAATGCCCAAAATAATCTCGGGCACAGTACTGGTATTCCAAAATGTCATGCCTGAGTATGGCTCGTGGTAATTTTTTTTTTTTTTTTTTTTTTTTTTTTAGTGCATTGTATTGTCATACCCAAATATATATCGTGAGAACTTTATTTTGGCTTCAATTCAATAGGTGGCAGCACTTTACTGAAGGTTACAAAGTATAGAGGTTTATGTTCAAAGTATGCGGATTTTTTTTTTTTTTTTTTTCCAAAATGGCATCCAGTTTTTTGAAATAATATATATAGATGATTGGGATTCTTCATCCCATATTCCTTCTACTCCTACAAAACGTGAGCCTACAAGACTGTTCAAGGAAGGATGAAAAGTGGAAAAAGATAAGGAAGGAAACACAATTCTGATGCACTGATTGTGGAGTTGGTTTGTGCTTGGAAAAGTGTTTCCAGTTATACCACACAAAACTGAAATACGAACTAATAGGTTCATTTTATTATTATTTTGTTAAAAAATAATTTAATTAATTAATTTTTTTTTTTTTTTTTTTTAAGAAAATAATGCTCCACTAGAAGCGAACTTTACCACTGCCACACTGAGTGGCAGCTGCCTCCAGCGAATATGCAGAGGCTACAAAATCTTAAAACTCTTATGCATGTAATTCGAAATATCAATTTTTAACTACTAAGTATATTTCATTTTGTACTAAACATTCGATTTTTGCAATAAAAAAATTTAACAATTTATGTACCCAAATCATCAAAATAACTTGAAAGGGTTAAGACTGTGTTGTGATGTTATGCTTAACCTTAGCAGAGCTAAATTGCACTACATGGTGACGGTAAGGGCTTCAAAAGCTTCTTATTTCCTTAATTTTTTAGTGAAAAAAAAAATTATTCTAAAATATTATGGTTAGTTGAATAGTCAGATAATTATTGTATTTCTGTATTCTTTTTCCCATACCTTCTTCTCTTATGTCATCATGTCTCTTCTTCTGTTTTTCCATACTTCGTCTCATTATGATAATTTTGTACACTTAAATTTAGTTAGTCTGTCATTTGTTCACATGTCCTCCTACATAACCAAATGCATTAACTTCAGTAGCTGCAATTTCAAAATGTTCATGTCATGCTGCTTAGATTTTGTATTTCCCTAACTGCTTAAAGTGGTCTGCATGCTTCACCTGTTGCTCATTGTCTGCTCTCAACATGAACCTGCTACCCTGCTATATGCCATCAAATCCACGGAACTCATACCACTGTCCTAGAACATCATAAACCTATAATATTCTGATGGGTTGGCATCTAAATTTCGTATGGCTAACAGCCCAGACGGAAGTCAACAAAGGGACAAAGATTACATCATAAGTGTCCTAACTCTTGTAAAGAACCTGACTAACTGTCTCATCTGCAACTGAAATAATTTGTGGATAAAACTTTTTAATCAAAAGAGACTACAAGTATCCATGAGAGGTAAAGCAGATAAGAACTACAGTTTACACATTTTTAGAATGATTTCAATACAGAATTTTTTTTTAAGCAAATGTATTGGAATGAACATTTCTGGCAACAGTTTATTATTAGAAATGAGAAATATCATCTGCTACTTTTAAATTTATTCTTCTTTCAAATGTCAAATAAACAAGCTGTGGATTAAAGGATAATTTTTTTGCTTTCCGGAGAAAAATATTTCTGTTTCATAATTAAAAAACATTATGAAATGCATGGTGTTAAAATTTCTAAGAGAAAAATAAGCAACATTATTTGTCATAAAGGGAAAAACCATCAATCATTACTCCTGAATTAAAAGTACACTCTAAATGAATAACCAAAAAAGATACATATAGTTTCTAAAGTTAAGAGAAAACACAACAATGCAGAAATCAATTGCACTCTTTAAAGATATAGCAAGGATAAATAAAATAATAAACTAAGATTTACAACTTAAAAAGGTAAAAAACATAATGTTCATCAGCTTTTGCCAAGGCACATGGCTCATCACAGAATAATTTGCAGAACCCTGCATGAAAACTATTTAGCAGGAGATACATGGAAATACATCGTGACCCTTGATGAAGCATGAGTTTACCTAAATGACTGAAGAATAAAAGAAGTCTATTTATTATTATAAAAAACAAAGAAAAAAAGTACAAACCTGGTTCTATCGATGCAAAGAAAGTTTCAGCAAGTGGTTTATGATTGTTGTAGGATTCTCTTACAATGAGAAAAATTAAAAATAAGAAGAGGAAAAAGATGTTAAAATGAACTCAATGTACTATCAAGAGAAAGTTTGATGTTCAATAATTACACAAAAAATTCCATTTCTTTATCCCAATGACTTTTAAAGACTGAACTTCATCAAGACAAAGTAAACAAGCCATACTAAGTATCATAGCATTCCTTGAAAAAATGAAGTCTGATACAAGTATTTTATATATACCTTTTCAATGTATTCCTGTGGCATTCCCTGATGTTTCACCTATGGACTATTATGATTCTGGTCTCATGAAGAGCTCTTTCTAATGGACTCTGGAAAGTAGCGGAAGAGGAATGAAAATCAATACCTCTGGAAATTTAACCAAAAGCTTATCTGTCATAGAAATCATGATGCAGACTTATAGTCCAGAAAAGACTATGAGATCAAACATTTAAAAAAGTATTCTCGACATTTTAAACATTAAGTCAATGGCTCCAAAATCGTTCTAAAAATATGTAAACATTCTCTGCTTAAAAAAAGATGGCTTCACAGAAAATTTTCTAAGGGAAACCACTTTATTTTTCCATTATACCTACAGAACACAAAAATATCTAAGCAACCAATTGCACCAAAACTGAAAAAGATGTATAATTATTCTTATTTAGCAGTTTTACATATTTGGCCAGTAGCAGCCACAAATGGACTGAAAATAAGTAACTTAAATCCTATGTTACACAAAAGAAAATATGAACTCCAAAAAAAATATGCATTATTTCAAAACGGAATAAAAATTCTTAGAAGTTCTTGAACCTTATAACAAACCATCCATTTTAAATGCAAAAATTTGTGCTTTTGCAAAAAAAAAAAAAAAAAAAAAAAAAAAAAAAAAAAAAAAACAAAAAAAAAAAAAAAATTAAATATGGATCAAATGAGTTATTTGAATAGCACAACATACTAAACTAGTATATGCTCAAATGCAAATAAAAAATATATAAAATATGACTAGGTATCTCATCATTATACTGTTACTTATAGATTTAATTTTTAAAAAAGAGGAAGAAGAAAAAGAGTTAATAAAAATGTAAAGCATTACTTAAATTGTTTGTAAATTAAATACATTTTAATTTTAAAAAATTAACACAGCAAAATAACTTACTTTAATTTTATGTATTAAGAGTTTACAAGTCAGTGGAGAAGCATATATGGGATACTGCCATGAACTGGTCAGACCCACAATGTGATCTCCATGAAAATGTGATAAAAAAAATATCCGAGCTTGAGGATGCTGTTTCGTATTCCACATATCAATAGCAATGGGAGTACTTGGGATCACATGACCGTTCCCACCCATTTCTCAAAGTCTCTGTAAAAAAGTATGTTGTTTTTATACCAAAACAAGAAAAAATATAGAATATTTTCTATAAACTTAAAAACAATATGGTTACATTCAGATACAATATAAGTTTAGATAGCTCCAGTTCTACCATTTACAATACTTTAAGTATCAGTATGGTTTCAGTCCCATTTAACCCTTTGACGCGCGGTAAACGTGCCCTGAAACCACCATTTTCCGAATTTTTTTTCTCCTTTTTTTTCCGAAATTTTAATATGAAAAATGATGATTACTGATTTTTAATCTAATAAACAAAATGATGTAGAATCATATGTTTTAGTATAATATAGATCGGAGCTTTTAAAATCGTTTCGATGAGACAAATACTTTTTATAAACAACTTTAAATTTCACAGTCAGCTTTTTATCAAGCATAAAAATTGCGTAATTAATGCATATTAAAAAAAAAACCTCCAGATGTTGGCATTGCTATGTGGTTTCAAAGCGCGACCACTGTGGCCACTAGAGCATTGTGCACATGCTTACAATCTCGGCGCAGGATGTAAAACTCATAGGTACACTTGGCAAACAAACAAGGTTAACTTACGCGGGCCACAAAAAATCAATTTCATAGAAACGTAGATTATTTCGAATACATAATAAATATATATATAATATATATAAAAGAACAAGAAAATTTAAGTTTACGTCTGATACTGAATCTCTTCTCTGCTGTTTCTTTCCATTTCGGAGAAAGAAATTTGTTTGCAGTGATAATTTCAACGCTGACTCAAGGTGAGCATCATTATACGGTTTCTAATAGGAGACTTATTACCTTTCATTACTGAAAATAAATGCTCGCACGATAAGTGCTACCAAACATGGAAATAAATAGGCCGAATTTTCGAGTATTTCAAATTCTGGTGGTAAATATTTGTAAAATTCAGGCACGCCCACTTCAATGAATTTGCTTCAAATTTGAGTTGCATTGAATCTCGATCACCTCCATTTGCATATGGCTGGGTATGAGTCAATACTATGAGAAATCGAAGAAAACAAAAACAAAAAAATTGTCTTCAAGGGAACTAAAATCATTAAACCTCGTTTCAATTCAGTTAAATTTGAATTTTTCTGCATATTTTTGATACAACAAAGATCATCTAAACTTGATTGTTCATGCTGCAGTCGGGAAGTGCGTCAAATCTTCATTTTTAAGTTCTTTTTCCCGAAGAACTAGTTGACATTTGAATGCTTTAATTTATGTCAAACATGTTCGTAATGATATGATCTTCTCCTTGTAACGATAAATTTAAATCGTTAAGTGTTTTGGTTATATCAACCAAGAAAGATAAATCTTGTATCCGAATTGGATCGTAAAACAAACTTACGTCTTGATTTTTCGTTTTTAAAAACTGGACATATTTCTTCTTTCAAATCCTGGAATTGTGTGAGAATCTTGGAGCAAGATAACCAACATACATCGGTATAGTAGGACAAACCCGAATATTCACTATCTAACTCACTTAAGAAAGCAGTGAATTGACGCTGATTTAAACCTCGAGATCTTATAAAATTTATAACTTTTTTTATATATGACAAAACATTCTCCCTATTTATTACTTTCGTGCATAGACTTCTTGATGTATAATACAATGCATATGATGAATGTTTGAAACCGGAATTTCACTAAGTTTTTTTCTTAGTAATGCTACGAAAAGCCCGTTTTTCCCAGTCATTGATGGAGCACCATCTGTAGCTACAGAATTTAATTTTGCCAAAGGTAGATTGTATTTCTGCAGAAGTCCAAAAACACGAGTAAATATATCTTCTCGAAACTAGATGATTTTGCTTTGATCTGATCACTTAAATTCGCGGCTAAATCAGTAACTCTTTCCGCCACTGTATTTCAAGACAATGAAATTGATTGAAATGCCTTCACATTTCCAGAACAAAAAATTTCTCCAGCTTTCATTAGGCATTCCTTGATGAAATCACCGTCAATAAAAGGCTTCGAATGTTTAGCTATCAACTCGGACAAGACGTAGCTTGCATGTACAGCCGCTTCACTTTCTTGCAATACTGTACTAAACATGGACTGTTGCTTTTTCACTCCTAACTTGAGCTCTTTCAACTTTCTTCTCTCATTAATCCTTCGTAATTGTTATATTCGATTTGTGTTGTTCGTAATGATGTTTAATATTATATAACCTGGTACAATAATAGTATTATTACATATCAAGGAGATTATTTATCTTTTTATTTCACAGCAAAAATATTCTAATTACATTTACTTAGAATATTCTATGTTCGTCAGCGATTTTTCGTTTAATTTTATACCACTTGGTTTTGATATAGACATACTGAATACAAACGGCTGGAATAACACGGTTAAAGTTAAAAGTTAACAAAAATTTATTCTTTCCACAAGAGATCAATCAAAATGCTTGAAATATTTCTTCAAAAATATTCTAACAATATCACAAAATGTCAAACGTTTAGCAAAATCAATTCAAAAACAGAAGAAAACTAATTCTATCTCACAGCGAAATCGCTACAAATCATCACAGCATTAAGTAAAACAACAGTTCGCTAGAACTACAGCTACTACTGAGATGAGTTGTTGTTCTCGGCTTTTATAGCTTATAATTAATTTCTCGAATATACTGGAAACACCTATAAATACCTGTATTTTTGTGGATGGCAACAGCAATACGAGATATTATTTTTTAGGTATTAAATGCACACGCTGTTCTATTTTTAACGCAGCTGTCTTTTCAAAAAATCGTCTGCGTTGCTAGGCAACATGAAGCAAATCTAATTACAATTCTAAATAAAAAAAACTAAATAAATAAATAACTATGAAATCCGTAACCAATATGAATTAAGAATAATTAATAATATAAAAGCAAAGTGCATGCACATGCATGACCAATATATCGTACAAAACTGATTGGAAAACTGAGGACATGAGTTCGGCCACATTCGGCTATCGGGGATTGCGTACAAGTTCTGAGTGCACGTGTCCCCAAATGCCGAAGGTAGCTGAACGCAAGCTACTCACACGCATTTGTAATTTAAGTAGTGTGTGTGTCAGCTCGCTGTGAGTAATCTAACAACACTGAATAAATGATCGTTAATTACCTAGCAGTAAACATTTCATTTTTTCTTCGTCAATATGTTATTTTATTATTATATATTATTATTTGCCGATATATTGGCCAGGCCGCAAAAAATATTTGTTGTGGGCCGCGAGTTTGACATCCTTGCTCTAGAGGCTCGGTGGTCATGCCTTGAAACCACTGGCGTTTGCTTCTCAATGGCGTTCGCTTGCTTTTCAGATAGGAATGTTTATTTTTACCCGGATATAGATAAAGGGCTTTGAAACCACAGAGTTATTTTATTACTAAACAATACATGCACCGGCCCAGTAAAAAGGTCTTTCTTTTCCAAATACCTTTCTCTGACATCAACACACTTGCTCCCCAAGCTAGTATTGTGATTTCATAAATTATTTCCTGTGGTTTAATTTAATGTAATATACTTTGCTATAATTAAAATAGAAATTGCGTAAAAGTTTTATTTAAATTAAAAATATTTTCTGAATATTTTGGGACGAAATACGAATAAAATAAGTATGAATGGGAAACGAACGATCCGTACAAAGCCAAAAAGACCAAGCCCCCCCCCCCATTAACATAAAAAACCACAAATTTCATGTGCCAGATGAAAAGAAACTAAATAATGCTGGACATATACCAGTGAAATTTAAATCCAGGCAGTGTACATTTTGTAGCACAAGGAAGAAACCTCATGGAACAAGATGTATGTGCAAAACGTGCAGTGTGGGTCTATGTATGTGCCAAAAAGACAAAACATGCTTTGAACAGTGTCACAAAAAAAATTCGTTCTTTGAAATTAAAAAAAAAAAAAAAAAAAAAAAAAAACAGTTTTTTTTTTATCCTTATTTTATTGAGTTTTTTAATCCATTTATCCAAATGTCCTTATTCTGTAGGTACTAATATTTTCAATGCTATAGAAAAATTACATAAATGTTTATTTTTTAATTTTTTCTGACGATTTACTTTGTAAAATAATGTAAAAAAATATATATAATGCAATTCTTACATACATTTTTTTTAAATCCGTAAATTTCATTATTTATTGTCGTTTTTAAGTCCTAGATGCGCGGTGGTTTCACAGTGCGACCACCACCCACAGAATAATGGGCAAGAGTAGATTTTTTTAAATTCATATATTATTTGTCTCTATCATCATAATATTCAATTTCTAGAGTTTTTAGTTAAAAAAATTATAAAAATAATATCGTGCGCGTCAAAGGGTTAAATTAAACACAATAATAATTCAATGTTTTAATTAGCTGTCACCAGTGAAAACAACTTAGTTGATGACCTTTAAAAATCAAAACTTTAGGCACCACTATCTATGCTAGGAGGCAGCTCTGAGCACAAATAGCATGTCATCCTCTCGTTTTTCCTTTGCTGTTTGGGTTGGGTCCTCTTGGAATTTGGGTGACCCTTAGGGTACAGACTTTGTGAATTGCCATCTGTATACATGGATATTGCAAGGAATTTTCTTTAATACTACACTACACAGGGATGATTTCAATACTAAATTTTTAACGCTATGTGTTCCAAAGAAGAAAGGCATCATAATAAGCAGTTATTAATGAAATGAACTTTATAATTCTTGCATCAAACACTGGCCTTTTTACACTAATTATTGCAACTGAATGGTCACTTTAATCAGTAGTTTTATAAAAAGATTTGATAGTGCATAACTGATGAGATTATTGTTCGAGAACCTTGATACCTTCTTTAATATACTCAGTAATTCTTGTTATTAACCGCTTGCCTGATTATCCCAAGTTATCTCGGGTTCATATATATTGCAGTTAATTCTTATCCCGAGGAAACTCGGACTTGGAGGAACTGAAAGGAAATGTTCAGCTTTGATTGGCAATTCGCCAAGTTTTGTTGGTTTTAAAGTTCTTTTTGCAGGACTGGCCATTAG